CCCCCCCCCCCTCCCCCCAGAGCGCGAAATAACGGTTCGCGGACCCCGTTCATTCGCGTCCAACGCGCGTTTGAACGGGGATTGAACGTGAATTGAACGCCCATTCAATTTTTTAACGCGGACCCCACGTTAAATCAATTTTCGGACACACAACTCTCCTGCACTTTATGACACTCTATGACACTCTACAAAACTCTACTCTACGACACTCTATGACACTCTACTCTACTATACTATACTCGACTATACTCCACTCTACGACACTATACGACATTGTACTCTATTCTACGTTACTCTACTCTACTCAACTCTCTTGTACTCTACTCCAGTCTACTTTACTCCACTATACCCACTCTACTCTGCCGGACTATACTTTAATCTTCTACACTCTACTCTGCTACACTCTACTCTATTATACTTTACCTTACTCTACGATACTCGACACTCAAGGACACTATGCTTTAGTGTATGACACTCTACTCTACTCTACTCTACAACACTCTAGTCTACTCTTGACATTGTAGGGTACTCTACTCTACTCTACGACCCTCTATTCTACAACACTCTACTCCATTCTACTCGGCGATACTCTACTCTACTTTACTTTACGATATTGCACGACACTATACTCTACTCTACTGTACACAATTTTACTCTGCGACTCTCTACTCTACTCCATTGTACAAAATTTTACTCTACGATTCTCTACTCCACTCTACTCTACTTTACTTTACGACACTCTATGACACGCTCCGAGACTCTACTCTATTTTATGACACTCTCGTCGACTCTACTTTACGATAGTCTAGGGTACTCATCTTTATGACACTCTAGTCTACTCTACTTTATGACACTCTAGTCTACTCTACTTTACAAAATTATACTCCGCTGTATGTACCCTACGACTCTATAGTGTACTCTACTCTACGATACTCTACTTTACTCAACGACACTGTAGTCTATGACACACTACTCTACTCTACGATACTCCATTCTCCTCTATGACACTTTACTGTAATCTACTCCACACGACTCTACTCTGGTTTACAACACTCTACTCTGCTCTACAACACTCTACTGTACTCTACGACACTCTACGACACTCTACGATACTCTGCGGCACTCTACTCTACTTTACTTTACTTTACTTTACTCTACTCTACTCTACTCTACTCTACTCTACTCTACTCTACTTTACTGTACTCTACTTTACTCTACTCTACTCTACTTTACTCTACTCTACTCTACTCCACTCTACTTTACTCTACTCTACTCTACTCTACTCTACGACACTCTACGACACTCTGCTCTACATAATGTACTCGACTATACTCCACCATACGACACTGTACTCAATTCTACTTCACTTTACTCTACTCTACTCTACTCTCTTCTACTCTACTCCACTCTACTTTACTGCACTCTACCCACTCTACTCCACTCTACTATACTTCAATCTACTACACTCTACTCTACTATACTTAACTCTACTCTACGACACTCAATACTCAACGACACTATGCTCTACTTTACGACACTCTACTCTACTCTACGACACTCTACGACACTCTACTCTACTCTGCAACACTCTCGCTTACTCAATACATTGTAGGGCACTCTACTCTACTCTACGACCCTCTATTGTACTCTACGACACTTTAGGACACTCTGCTCTACTCTACGACACTATACTCTACTCTACGACACTCTACTCTCCTGTACGACACTTTAGGATACTCTACTCTACTTTACAACACTGTACTCTTCTCCACTCTACGACACTCTGGTCTACTCAACGACACTTTATGACACTATATAATATGCTACTTTACCATACTCTACTTTACCATACTCTACTTTATGACACTTACTGTACTTTGCGTCACTCTACTCTACTCTATGCCACTCTACAATACTCTACTAAACTTTACTCATCGAGAGTCTACACTATACTCAATTGTTAGACTACTTCACTCTACTTTACTCTACGATCCTCTATTGTACTCTATGACACTGTAGGACACCCTACTCTACTCTACGATACTATACTCTACTTTACGACATTCTACTCTCCTGTACGACACTTTAGGACACTCTACTCTACTCTACAACATTGTACTCTTCTCCACTCTATGACACTCTGGTCTACTCAACGACACTCTATGACACTCTATAATACTCTACTCTACTCTACTTTACTCCACTCTACTCTACTCTACTCTACTCTACTCTACTCTACTCTACGCTACTCTACTCTACTCTACTCTACTCTACCCACTCTACTTTACTCTACTCTACTTTACTCTACTCTACTCTTCTCTACTCCACTCTGCTTTACTCTACTCTACCTACTTTACTCTACTCTACCTACTTTACTCTACTCTACTACACTCTACTTTAAGAAAGTCTACAACACTCTACTCTACGACATTCTACTCTACTGTACTCGGTGTAACTCAACTCTACTCTACTCTACTCTACTCATCGATAGTCTACTATATCCTCTATTGTTCGACTACTCTACTCTACTTTACATTATGGCACTCTACTCTACTCTATGCTACCCTACTCTGCGACCCTTTACGACACTATATGATACTCTACGACATTCTATGACACTCTACGATACTCTACGACACTACTCTACTCTACAGTACTCTACAACACTCTTATGTACTCTATGACAGTCAAGGACACTCTACGACACTTTACAAAACTTTACTCTCCTCTATTGTACTCTATTCTAATATACTCTATTCTACTTTACTTTACTCTACTTTACTCTACTCTACTCTACTCTACTCTACTCCACTCTACTCTACTCTACTCTACTCTACTCTACTCTACTCTACTCTGCTCTACTCTACTCTACTCCACTCTACTCTACAGTACTCTACTCTTCTCCACTCCACTTTGCTTTACTCTACTTTACCTACTTTACTCTACTCTACGATACTCTACTTTAAGAAACTCTACAACACTCTACTCTATGACATTCTACTCTACTTTACTCAGTGTAACTCAACTCTACTTTACTCTACGACACTCTGCTTCCCTCTACTTCATTTTACTCAAATTTGCCCACTTTACTATACTATACTCTACTCTGCTCTACTCTAAGACATTCTTTATTATACTTTACTCTACTCTACTAAAGTCTACTCTACTATAAGACTAAGACATTCTACAATACTCTACTCCACTCTACTCGACGATATTCTTCTCTACTCTACTTTACGACTCTCTACTCTACTCTAATGTAGAAAATTTTACTCTACGACTCTCTACTCTACTCTACTTTACGACACTCTACGACACTCTACGAGACTATTTGACACTCTACTCTACTCTACGACACTCTAGTCTACTTTACTTTACGACACTCTAGTCCACTCTATTGTACAAAATTATACTCTACTGTACTGTACTCTATGACTCTCTAGCCTACTTTACTCTACGACACTCTACTCTACTCTACGATACTCTACTGTATGATACTCTACTTTACGACACTCTACTCTCCTGTATGACACTCTACTGTAATCTACTTCACGCCACTCTACTATGGTCTATGACACTCTAGAACACTCTACAACACTCTACAACACTCTACTGTACTCTATGGCACTCGACGACACTCTATAAAACCTTACTCTACTCTACTGTACTGTATTCTAGTCTACTCTATTATACTTTACTTTACTCTACTCTACTCTACTCTACTCTACTCTAGTCTACTCTATTCTACTCTACTCTACTCTACTCTACAGTACTCTACTTTACCTACTTTATTCTGCTCTACGATACTCTACTTTAAGAAACTCTACAACACTCTACGACATTCTACTCTACTGTACTCAGTGTAACTCAACTCTACTCTACTCTACGACACTCTGTTTCCCTTTACTTCATTTTACTCAAATCTGCCCGCTCTACTATACTATACTCTACACTACTCTACTCTAAGACATTCTTTCCTACACTTTACTCTACTCTACTGAAG